CAACTCTACGTCCTTTTGTCTTCACTTTGCTCGAAAACAGGATGATCCTCGCCGAACATCGATTGGCCAGATTGTATTTCGGCACAAAGCTAGGAATGTATTCGCCGGTGTGATCTACACAGCGAACGTGGCATTGATATTCGCATTTAAAACTTTATGGAGTAATATTTTAATCTAAATACTTTGGATTTTATACTTTTAATGTGTCCATAGTTTACATTACTTGTACCAAATTTTCCCTGAAATCAATTCTAATCAATATCTTGAGTGCTTTGTGTTTGAAAAATACTACAAATAGTTGGTCATATCTAGAGTGTTCTCTGAATTCCTAATAAAAGCAATAAACGGAAAGAGTGCAATGTGCGAAAAGAATGACAGGACTGAGTTTATGAAGTCCAGGAGTAAAATAAGAGGTCAATCAAAGTTCGTCTTTTTTGAGTACTTGTGTCGGGCGAAACCCTGCTAGCACGAGTTGGTGTGTCAACTCAGGAATAACAAGTTCAATCGGAGCCTGTTGATCGCTTATCGCGAATTGGGATGATCCATACGTCACTTGGGAGGACGAAAGAACGCAATATCTGATTCCGCAGCATGCTTTAACCAACGGTCCAGACAATTTTTTGTGCTGTTTAGGGAGCCGTAGATCATTTGGTCTGCCGGGCATTAGCACGTGGTAGGCCCTTTGGGAGGTCTTGTTTTTGCTTGCAAAAGAGAAATTATAAAACAAGTATCCAGTGGTTGAACTAGTTGGGATAGATAAAGGTGCAGTGAATATGTTTTTAAATAAAATCTTTACTATCTTAAACGTGGCGAATGTAGAGCCTAGTATTTGACTCAAAATATTCGTGTTCTTGCTAAAGCTGGGCACAAGGAATGTTCTGACATTTCCGAGCATACGATCAAACATAAGCTTAATTATTCTTTCGTTTGTAATTTACATTTTCGGTACTACCAGTAGATTATATAAACATGTATTCACCCTATTTTTTAAACACTGCTAGTCGAATTTTCCTACAATTACATAAGTAGACCTTAAATTTCATATAGCCTCTTTTCTCAATGAGAATATTCTTCAGGAAACAAGACTATGCTAAATTATTGAGCCTACTTCCATTTCGAGTCAAAGTGTTGGCCGGAGAGATTTGAAGGTCGATTCCACCAGAATATGACGGAGGATTCCTCTTGACTAGCTGTCGATTGGCTTTACTGGAAGATTCATGCTGACTATTTTCTTGATTTGTTAGCTTGAATTTGGTTGTGATGATGATACCTTGCTTTGATGATGTTCGTCATATGACGGACGAAAGCTTAGCCTCATCGGAATCGAAGGAGATTACCTCGGAAACAGCGTCAGCATGAATCTTCCAGTAAAGCAAATTGAGAGCTGATCAAGAGGAATTCACTGTCGTCTTCTGATGGAATCGACCTTCGAATCTCTTCACACAACACTTTCACTCGAAATGGAAGTAGACTCAACAATTATGAAACAAGAGATTCCTCGAAATCCAACTTTGATTCGCATATGCTAAATTAAGTGGCAGCGTAAAGTATATCCATTTTAGAAGTCTGTTGACCTCGTTGTCGCAGCTTGGCCTTGTTGTCAGGGCGAATTGATACAACGCACCTAGTCCAAGGTCGTCTGCAATAGTATTTGTCATGATTCCCAGCATCAGACAGTGGATTTGGCACATTCTCAAACGTTTCGCCGGCACCATTAGTGAATTTTGCTATTCACTGCACCAAGCTACGAACTCATCAAAAAGACAAGTGAAGGCAATCCTTCGACAAA